TAAGAAAATTTATATTTCTACCAATCAAAAAATAACTTGTGGTAAAAGTTATGTGTATCCAATCAAGTGTACGTGCGAAATTATTCTTTGTTGAATCAATGAATGATTCAATCATAGCTTGAGTTTGTTGAGCAAAAAGTGATGGAGGAAGTACATGATCATTTATAAATTTAGTATTGATGAATACATTCAATGCATTATTAATATTAATTTGACTTAGAGAACAAAAAGTGGCAAGAAATTGAAAATAAGAAGCACCTATTGTACGAAAATCACGTGAAAAAGGTGTTTCAGTCCATGAAGGTACAAGAGTTGGATCAAAAGATGATAAATAAGTGAGCCACTTTGGTGAAACAAAATCACTTGTGCATACTTGATGTAAAATATATGTAATATTGAGAAACTTTTCATATGAAATTGATATTTGTGAACAAGGACATTGTAATGTAGCTGAATGATCATTATATAATTGTTCGTAAGTAACAAGGGATGGATGTTTAATTGTCACTATCTGATTTTGTTCAACGAAATATATATAAAATCCAGTGGTGATAAACAAAATAGTAATCATAAGAATGAAGACTCGTGTTAAGAGAAGTTCGTGAAATATATTGGTTGGTGTACGTAATGTTTGATTTTCAAAAAGATTTAATTTTACAATTTTTTGTCCAATGTAGTTCGGCAGTAGTCGAAGACGGTTGATGGTGACACATACTAAAAGTTTATAATCAGGAGAAATTTTTCTTAACGTACATCAGAACATTTCTGATCAAATCAAGTAACAAACTTTGATTTTTATTGAGATAACCCGCGATGAAAAAGTCTCCATACATATGTCTGAAGCTATTGCACAGGAACGATAAATCTTAAAAACTAAATTAACGTCTTGTTTGATAGAGCGAAGCGATCTCTTTCGAACGACATATGACTCTTTTGTCCATAATTTCAAATGAAGCGAACACAACGAAAACATGAAAATCTTGCAAAATCGATTGTAACTTTTCATATCAATAACTCAAATTATGTTGTGAAAACCA